CCCACGCGAGACGGCGAGAGGGAGTAGCGAGTAGTAGACGGAAAGAGCGAAGAGGGTGATGAAGAGAGTGGCGAGTGGCAAAGAGAGGGCAAGACAAAGGAGTGTTGGGATTAGGAAGGAGAGAAATGTTGCCGTGGGCTTCATGTTTGGTCAAAAGAGGAAGAGGTTTAGGGTCTGTAGTGAATAGATGCAATTATCCAGAGATGGACGTGTGTCATGGGATATATAGCATGTGGGGATCAGTTCTATATATAGCCTTGGAAAGTGGATAGGTTAAGGTGACCATGGACCATGCACCATGGTTAAGAAATAGCATGCCCAGGTCATATAAGGTTATGACGTGTAAATATTCTTCAGAACTTGCACTATATAACATGTAACTTTATGTCAGAATCACACCCACATCTTGCCTTCCCTTTCTCTCTTTTAAGTTTTAAACACAACACCCCTTCATTTAAAAAATAAATAAAAATAGTAATAATAAGAGAAATACCAAGGAATATACCGTATGGCACACTCCTTTAAACTTTAGATACTATATCTTTCTTATTAACTTATTACAAATCTAAAATTTTGAACCATTTTACATCTTATTTAATAATTTTTTTTGATGTTAGTAACATAATAAATTACGTTAATTATATAGTATTATACGATTAACTAATAATGTAATAAAATATGTATTAAAAAAAACTTAAAATTAAGTTTCAAAATATGCATATTATGATCCTCCTATTATAACAACACTAAGTTGAGTTTGATAATAACGATTAGGAAACGTGTGCTTTTGTTCTTTATATTTTCGATCAAAATCGATCTTAGTCCAAGTACTTTCAAGTTTCAAATCAAAGAAGCGATTTTAGTTTCTTCCCTTTAATGATGTTAGTGCTGTTAAGGGAGTCCATATTGTGATGATTTGAATTACAATTTCTGGCTACTCTAAATTGGCACATAAGATGCACTCATAATGTATTTATACTTAATATTCTTATTGCAGATAGAAGCATGAAGACTTTAGAAACATAAAAATCTAGTTTCAATCTTTATTGTGATTATTTTTGTAATCTTTCTTATTTTTTACTAAAAAAATACTTAATATTCTTTTTGTCGATTTTTACCCCTAATTTTTTCTCTTTCTTCCCATGAAAAAACCAGCATAACTCGAACAACAATCAAACTGAAATCATACGAAATATAACAAGAAGAAACATTCAAAAATCCGAAGTCTCGTGAAAATAAACTTGTCTCATTAATCATCTCCATTTGTGAGGACATATCTCCACACTTTCCATAACACCCTTCAACCTAAAACCATCCTCCATGTTCTCAGATTTACAGTACGGTCAGTACCAAATGTTCAAAGTGTTGAAACTAACAAAAATAAGCTTCATAAACCCCTCTTGAAAATTTCATCGAACACCAACCGCGTAATCGCCACATCACCAACTTTACAAAATTAGTGCATCTAAATATTAAGGAAATAAATGCTTGGCTCGGTGGCTGGTGCCCTCAATCCAAAACCTCAAAATAAAACGTTGAATTTCAACGGGTTTCAACCTCATCTCATGAAGCAGATTCTAACAATCACGAAGTGGGATCAGGAAGTTGTTCTTCGTAACCAACCTGAAACACTGAACAATGAACAGCATCAGGTACCAAAGTATGAATTTAAAAAAAAAAAATCAATAAAAAAAAAAGTTAGAGCTTCAAAGATGAGACGAACTGAGTGAGAGAGAGGCGTGATTAATTTGGAGAATGGAAGAGAACAAGTACGAGAGAGGTAATAAAAGGATTTTATTCAGATGAAATGTAATTCCAAAAAAACTTTACACAAAATTCACGTATCGTTGAATCATTATACCACTGATAGAATAAAATAAAGAATGAGAATATTTCAGATGGATTGTCCTTCTTATTAGGTACATTGCTTTAATTTACTCTTTTATTCCAATGCGTTATTGTATTCAATTTCTGTACTTATTTGATTTTCATGCATATAATAAAGCATTGCGGCCTGACTCAAGCTTCTTTCGTGTTTATCCATTTATATGGCTTTTTAATGGCTAAATATTTAACATGCGTAATTTATATCTTAAATATTTATTATATATAACTAAAATTTATAATAAATTATATATAATATAATATGTTTAAATATATAAATTATATTTAAAATTTGTAAAATAGATATTTATAAATATATAAATTATATATTTTATAGTAATATATAAATTATATTTTAAATTTATGATACATAATTTATATTATAATATAATATTATTTTTATTTATTAATAATTTATTTAAA